TGGTGGTTATGGTGGTGATGGTGGTGATGGTGGTGATGGTGGTGATGGTGGTGATGGTGCGTGGGTGAATGCGCGTATTTATGGATATATATATGCGTGAATGTCGATATATGTGCTTATATATATATATAGCTGCGTGCGTATAGACGTATATCTATGCTCATACGCATATGCATGCATATATATTGGATATATATAGGCGCATATCTATGAGATATATATATATATCATGATAATTTTTCGAGGAGCTCCGCATGAGAGCGAGATTTTCATAAATGAAGGTTGAGATTCAATCCATAAGAAGACGATATTATTCAAAATTTTCAGGACGCTCCGCACGAGAGCGCGATTTTCATCGAAAATTTGAAGACGCTCCGCACGGGAGCGCGATTTTTCTCAAATTTTTCTCGAAATTTTCAGGACGCTCCGCACGGGAGCGCGATTTTTCTTAATATTTTCAAGATATTCCGCAAAAGAGCGCGATTTTCATCATAAGAGAACGATATGGAGCGAATCAATTTAGTATATCCTGGATATAGAAATTTATCCTTAGAAAATTCAAAATTTTAACGATGAATCCGGCCAAAAAACTAATTTCAGGCCTGTTCTAAAATATATCCTCAAGAAAATCTCCCTTGATAAGATGAATTACCGAAATTTCGAAGACGTCTCGAGCGGGAACGCGACTTTCAAAAATCAATTTATCAAAATATTCAAGACGCTCCGCCCAAGAGCGTGATTTTGATCATAAACGAATAATCTTGAGCGAAAGAATTCAATATAACCTGGATTTAGAAATTCTTTCTTCTTTGAAACGATGAAATATATGAAGAACGCAATCAAGGAATCCTATGTCTACGCTATTTTAAGACCATCCCGCAAGAACCTCACCCTTAAGAAGACATATCAACGAAATTTTGAGGACATCTCGAACGAAAACACGATTTTTATAAGATATCATCAATATTTTGAAAATGATCCGTATGAAATCTATGCCTAGACTATACTGAAACAAGATCTCAAAAATATCATCTTTAGAATATCAATCAATGATAAATTTATCAACATATCAACGAAATTTCGAGGACGTCTCGAACGAGAGCGCGAATTTTGAAAATAGCATCAAAATAATAAAAAGACTCAAAAAAATTAGATTGTCCGACGAAAGCGCTCAATTTTGATGATTTCATAACGTCAATGAATCTTAATAAGTCATCAAAATTTTGAGGAAGTCTCGAGCGAGAACGTGATTTTAGATGATTTTAATGAAAGCCGGGAGGTCGTCTATCGACACCCCCCCAATAAGAGGGAAATAAAACAAATCATCCTCCCAGACCTCTCTCAGATATATCATCATAAGATATTCCGAAATGCAGAAATCTCGAACGAGAACGCAATTCATCGACGCATCTAAAATATTTGCGCGACGGAAGCGCACGCAACGGGCGACGTCTATCAAAATATATTAAATTAATTCTTCTCTTCATGATATACCTGAATCTTATAATTCGGATATAATCAGAAAATTCCAATAAATTAGAATTTGATTTCAAAAATCAATTTAGATCAAAGATATTCATATCTTTATTTCTATTGAAATTCGTGCGCGAATTTAAGATAATCCCTCATCTCTTCTTGTGGTCTTACTCTCTGCCAAGATCTAGATTGATTCATTTCTGAAATTCATTTTTATTTCTGAAATATCTTAATAAAGAATTCGTAGAATTTTAGAGATTATCGGAATCGAATATCTTTAGAATTTTCATGAATCATTAGATCTTCATATCTCAGATAGCAAATCCAAATCAATCTCGGAGAAGAGAAAGAAATCTCATTATTCAAATATTCTAAAGAATAATCTAATCAAATATTTCTACGATCGTATGAAAGAATTAATCATCCGAAATTCAAATTTCTTCCTCTCAAATCTAGAATCATCCCTTCCTACGTATAGAATCCCAAAATTCTATCAATAGATATGGAGATCTTTATAATTCTTAATAACAATATCCCTAATAATCAATCAAGAAAATTCATTTATCTCTTCATCTATTTACGTATCGCTCCCTCTCTATCTATTTAATTCTCTATGCATCTATTTTTATTTCGATTATTTAATCATTTTTTATGAATCTCTATCTGCCTATCTATCTAGGTTTATTTTTTCTCTCAAACTATCTTTCCTATCTTATCCGGTTTATCTCTCTATCTTTCTATTTATCTATCTTCTTATATCTAGCTATAAAATTCCCTTTCTTATCATGTGAATTGAAATCCTATCTTTTCTAAATATCAAGAATTTTGAGAATTAAAATTGAATAATAATTATATTATAAAATTTGTAAATTATCGTAAATATTTCAATTTTATATTATTTTCGTAAATTTCGTCTAATATTTTTCAATAATATTATTAATCTATTCCTTATAATCATTAATAAACGATATAGGCAATATTAATACGATCAAATATCATATTATGAATTTAAAGTATCGCAATAAATATATATCCGAAATGAAATTAGAAGATTTCGAGCGGGATTCGCATATTTATCCTCTCTAAAATTCATTCTTAATTTTTATTTATTCATCAAATTTTCTCTATTTCTATTAATGACGATTATCTATTTATCTTTCTTTATCTGTATTTTTCTATTCTTAATTATCTCTATCGATTCAATTCACTCATATTTCGGAAATTATATTATATATCATTTCCAAATCTGCCTATATTTATCGTCGAAAACCTAATTAGTTAATTATCATCCCAATTCGCCTATATATTTTATAATTTTAATCATGAATTATCTGCGTCTATATCAATATTCGAGCAGTCCCGCAACAACCAAGGAGAGTCTTATTCTTCAAGATGAGTTTAACAAGATTTATAAGAATGATAATATCCAAGATATCGGAAAGATTATCGATTATATTTCTAATCTATTTAGAAGATTTTATCATCTTAATTTCATATTCTTATTGGCAGAATGCCTCTAGTCCCTCACTAATCTTCATGCGACCTGTCATAGCTTTTCTCCGAATCAAGCCATAATCAAGTAGAAGCGGGCCCGCATAGGTTGGGCTCAAGTTGCAGGCCTATTGCAGAAATTGAAGGTGGCACCTGCATCAAGGGTGAAAACAGCCTGAGAGGCACACTTAGAACATCAGGAGACCCTCGCACTAGGGTAAAAGAGTAGCTGTGGCAAAATGACATCCTTGGTGCTTGCTATCCCCTAGAAAGCGCGCTTGGTCTGATACACAAAGGTTTGCCTTCTAATGACCACACGCCTGTTCTGCGGATCCAGGGCTTCAAGGAATGAATTGCGGCCTTAAATTTTCAATTTGTATTTGGAAAGTCGGATCCAATCTGCTAAAACACACGTTGGAACCTTGCAAGCCACAGCCTCAAAGCACCGGCATTCAACAAAAAGCTGATCCTCATGTACTCCCAAAAAGTGGAAAGTCCAAACGAGGACAGCAGGTCTTGGGAACTTGCCACATGCCGGAATTTTCGATTCTGGTCCGTGACTGCGATTCTGTGATCCTATGACGCCACAATCCTTCACAGGCGAGCACCTGAACCAGCAGCCGCGCCAGAAAGTGATGGGTTGCCAAATTTCCCGCCGTCATCAGCATCCTATTGTCTTCGTAACCGTCAATGCCGGGCCAATGTTCATTCATAGTGTGGAGACGAATTTAAGCTGTCAAGGGCAACGCATGATGCCCTCACTTATGCTGTTGACTCTAGATCCCGCTTGCAAGGAGCCAGCAGTTGGTAGTGGTGCTGCTACATCAGTTCGCCCCTGATAAAGTGGAAATGCAAACGGCGACACAGCAACCTTTTTGGACAGTGAACGAGGCGGCGAAGAAGCATTGGTTGCGAGCTTCTGCATGGTTGGCGCGGCTCAAAATTACCATCTGTACATGCAGTACATGCACGTGGCTTGAAGCTTATCTTCATTGCCCAAATTTTATGCACTTTCGCGTCGGAGTTGTCTACAGACAACTTCACTGCAGGAATGCAGGAAAAACAAACCTCACACCCTCACTGATGAAACCAGCCCACCTTGAACTTAATGGCATGTTCGGAACTTGCTGGAGGCCATGATCTCAAATCCGGCCATGTAAGACCCGGGATTCCTGGCACTCAATATGGAGCAGCTCTCGCTCCATAACCACCTTTCCAGCCACCGAAAGCCATCTCAATGTCCTGGGGGCGAGCTTCCATGAGCTCTATATAACGGGTACCTAAGCCGTCCAGCAAACTTTGGGAAATGGGTATACGTGCATGCATACATGCATGCATGTATATATGTATGCATGTATGTATGCATGTAACAACAGGTATACAGGCTTCGAGGTAGGATATGCCCGTGTAAATACAGACACACACTCACGCTTCGATGGCGACTTAACTACGTAAAATGGAAGAGAACCTGATTCAAAACAACCACAGTTCAAACATTCAACGTGCCCACACAAACTCTCGCACTCTCTCTCTCTCTCTCTCTCTCTCTCTCTCTCGCTCGCACACACACAAAGCAAAGAGCCCAGGCACCCATGTGCTGAAAGTTCTTCTCATTGAAGGCTCTCTTGGCCTCGTACTCTGACCTGGGAACTTAGCAAACATCGGGGCTGTGGAGTTCATAGTTTGGGGTGCCCTCGAAAGCCTGGAGCCTTTCTGGGAGCCCTTGTCTTTGGGAGTCTATGATTTGGAGCAAACTTGGGAGGCAAGAGAAAACTACCAGCTTCAAAATAGGCCTTGAAAGCATGTAATTACATTCAATTGCCCCTGCTGCTACATTGCCTGCCTGAAGTAATTCGAGCCCAGAAGGCTTACATGATCTTGCCTTCTTGGATCCTTGCATAGGGGACTGCGTTTCGGGTATTCGTGTGGTGTCCTAGCAATAGCACTCAAATCCAAGCCCGCCGCCTGAACTCCACAAAAGCGATGCCCGCTGGACTCCCCGAAGCATCAACCTGTAGGTGAAGTCTTCCAGACAACGCGTAGCCGGCAAAAAAGTGCTCCAAGTCCTTTCTGATGTATTATCAGCTTCTTATTCTGGAGGTGTCAGGGACTCTTATAGGGCGTAAGGCTTATGGGGTTTAGAGGGAACATAGTGATCAGCTCGCAAAAGCCCTCCATGTCCTGTCTGGAAGTGGACCATGGGATCCCCTGAACTCGAAGCACCTTGCCACTCGGAGCCCTGGACTTGTCCCAGCCCCCTGAGCCCCAGTCGCCGCCCTTTCCCTTGCCGCCACCCTTGCTTTGGAAAGCCTTGAACAATGCCATCATCTCCATCATGCTGTCCGTGCCCTTTTGACCGCCACCGCCGCCGCCAAACATGTCCACGTCTTGGGGCCGGGCGTCCAACAGCTCGATGTAACGGTTGCCCATGTTCTGCATGTGTTTGTCGGCTCTGGCTCTTTGGGCCTCTTCCTGGGATGTAAATTCCACGAGGCCGATGCCCGTGGGATACCCGAAGGCATCCTTCTCTATATGCACTTTGCCAGTCAACGAATAGCCCGCAAAGAATCCCTCAATTTCCTTTTTCGAAGCAGAGAATGGAAGTCCTTGCAGTCGTAGCAGGCTGGCCGCGGAAGGCTTGCCACCGCTAAAGTGCTCAACGTCCTGTTCGCGTGCGTCTAGCAGCTCGATGTAACGGCTGCCCATATTCTGCATGTGTTTCTCGGCTTTGGCCCTTTGCGCCTCTTCTTGGGACGTAAATTCTACAAGTCCGACGCCGGTGGGATAGCCGAATGGATCTTTCTGAATGTGAAACCTGCCAGTCAACCCAAAGCCCGCAAAGAACTCCTCGAACTCTTTCTTTGAAGCAGAGAATGGAAGTCCCTGGCATCGCACAACATTGCCTGTTGGAGGTCTGCTGCCGGCAAAGTACATGTCGATGTCTTGGGGTCTGGCTTCCATCAGCTCTATGTAGCGGTTGCCCATATGCTGCATATGCTTGTCAGCTCTTGCTCGCATCGCCTCTCCCTCAGATAGAAACTCAACGAATCCAATGCCCGTAGCTTGACCGAAGGCATCAGCCTGTAGATGCACCTTTCCAGTCAATCCATAACCTGCAAAGAACTGCTCCAGATCCTTCCTAGAAGCTGAAAATGGAAGCCCCTGAAGTCGCAGCACGTTGCTCCCGGCCGCCACCATGAGTGCCACTGCTCCAGACCAAGCAGACTTGACGAACGGTCATTGAGCCATAACTCAACAGCCAGATATGCAGGGCCTCCAAATCTCGCTGTGCACCTTCTACAGGAAACTATGGAATCTACACATGTCCGGCCTTCGAAGTAAGGATTTCTCATGTCAAAAGAATGCTACTTCACAGGTTGGGTGCAGGTGGCAATTCCGGAAGAGAGGAAAGAGTGATGACCGTGAGAGCAGGCTTAAGAGAGTGTGCATTCTCATAAGTAGGAGAGCACTGGCATGGGCAACAAGACTGATGCCGAGAAAAGGCACGGTAGTACACAGATCTCATGTCAAAGATGGTGATAGTGACAGCAACAAGAATGACTGGTGACTAGTGATGGCGGCCGTAACGTCAGCGGTGGAGCCTCTGCTTCTATTGAATTCTCGCACTGGGCAGTAGCACCTACATGAAGGTTGTAGCAAACCACAGCTACACTGCGGTCTGACCCTTGCTCTGCCTTCACGCCCGGCGCAAGAAAGGGAAGCTCCGCTCCATTGCAAGGAGCTTCTTCTTGGTTCTTGACAAGCAAAGCACACCTGTGAAGGGGCGGCTGAGAGCCCTTGCAAAAAAAATGGACTCTTGTCGAGGCTGCTGCTGATGCCTTGGCTGTTGCTGCCGCCGCTTCTGCTGCGATTGCCCTTGGCTCTGCTGGCATTGCACGATGTGGCTGTCCCATGGCCACGTACCACATCTAACACAAGAAGAGGGACCGATTCCAAGCAAATGCAGAGATCAGAACACTGTTTTTGAGGCAAGCTCTGTGCGGCTGGGATCTTGTTGGTGATCGTTTGTCAGGCGCACCGTGCTGGGCCCTGATCCAGACAGCCTGCAGTACCTTCGCCTGTTCTTCAACACAAAAGTAACCACAACGTATCTTCGAGGTGCTACCAGAAGCCCAAGGAAGAGCCCCAAGTTCAGCCTTTTCTGCACAGGCACATCCATTCCTGGCGTACCCCCCATGAATCTCATGTTTATCCAGGAGATTATGGGGGTCCAAGACAGGTAGTGTCCAAAGAGGCCATGCCTCGTGCTTGTCTAGCCACTCACACTCAAACCTCATTGGCCTAACTCCTCCAATCTTGAGCGAAAGCTGCAGGCGGCAGAGATAGCTTGCGAAGCACTGAACAACTGAAGATGCTGCCTGACTGTTAAGTATTTCCGGCTTCTTGTGAAGTGCTTGGTGCAGGCTTTGAGTTGAGTGAAGGATTAAGGAGCCTAGCATGAACTTCCATTTGATGCATGTCTGGCTGGATGTCTGATTGGAACTGAGGAACTGCAATCTGAGCCATCATCACAGGCCGGGGATCCACTAAGCTCACGCAATTGTCACCTAACAGGGTTTGAAAGCATCCAGCCGGAAAGAATGAGGGAAAGCATCTGCTCCTGGGAAGCTATCATAGGAATCTAGGCAGTCATGATAGTGATCCTTCTTTCAACTCCAGAGCCCTGAGCCCCAATTATGGGCCGTGGCACTTCTGGGGCCCCACAACCTTTTGAATGCAATGCCGTTTGAGGCACAGCTGCAATTGCAGGTTTAGTCCAAAGAACATAAGCAGAAACAAGAAGAGCACACGTGGCTACCGCAGCGGGGGCAGCAGCAGAACAGTTTCTGGCCACGCGTCATGTGGCTTGTCACAGATGTGCAGGCCGCTTATATCTTGCGTGCGCCTGGCGAACTTCCTACATCTCCTAGGGCCGGAGCACCACAAGCCAATATGGCTGCACCATTAATATATTAGCTCCAGAAAAAGTGCGGGTTGGTAGAATACAAAGAGTATCACTTGTGTGCGAGGCACTCAGGCTACAAAACTGTAAAACAAAAACACAATATTTCTGCTTGGCAGAAATCCTCAAATTCAAGGCGAGCGACTCTCAGAATTGGGGCCAAGCATTCAAGAAGTTCAGATTTCGAGCAGCTTCATCTTTTCCAGCAAACTTGTGGCCACAATTTTGAAACGTAGTGGTTGTCGTGTCTTCAGACCTTTCCTGCGACAGAGAATAGCCAATTCCATCTCCTCAATCATTTGAGGCAACTGTTCAACCTCAGGTCCGCAGTCATTTAACAACCCCTTGCTTGGACCGCATAGGATACGGCCTGTACTCCGACTATGGAGCTGCACAGGATTGATTCAGTGGCCGTTGCTCAGCAGGTTGGCCAACAATGATATTTTTCAGATTATGCGCGAGATCAAATTCAGATCTGCATCTACTCGAAGCAATCCAATTGCATCATGGATGGCAGGCAGCCTAAATAGGCTGCATCTGCGTGGCATGACATTCATATGAAGTCTGAAGCTGCGGTAGTGGAAACAGAAGCTCAGAAATCCCACTGCTTCAAAAAGCAGGTGGCTTATGTCGCATGTCATAGCTGAAAGAACCAATCTTGTGGAAGCGGCCCAAATCATGAAATAATGCGGATTCGTATGACTCACACGACATCATGTGGAAGCTTGCAGCAGTGCATGGAGGATCCTTGCACAACTATGTTGACATGCCCAACCCGAAACAGACTGTGCCTGCCATCCACAAACACGACATGCCAGACAGGCTTTGGAGCCACGAGCCGCGACGCGCTGCAAGCCTGGACCCTTCACTGTAAAGGTACTTGTGTTACTAGTACTTCAAGATCTACCACTACTACCACTGCTAGTAATACTTTACTTCCACTAGCATTGCTGCTACTACTTCTGGTACTACAACCACCACTAGCATCACTGCCATGACAGCTACTACTACTACTACTACTACTACCACTCCTACTACTACAACTACTACAACTACTACTATTACTACTGCTACTGCTGCTGCTGCTGCTAGTACTACTACTACTACTACTACATCATCTACTACTACTGCTACTACTACTACTACTACTATTACTACGACGACTACGACTACAACTACGACTGCTGCTACTCCTACTGCTACTGCTACTGCTACTCCTACTATTACTACTAGGGTCAATCGGGGAGGTTTGCCGCGTTTTGAAGCAGATACTTTTTCTAGCGCAGCTTTGCGCGGATCACAATGCTGCTTTGGGTGTCCATCATGTGGGGCAACCGACTTCGACGTGCGTCTACAGTGGCGCAGGATCTTTGCACGCAGACACATGCTCTACAGCGTGGGGAGCTGCTTGGATGAACACGTTGACGAGAGCATCCATGCCCAAACCAAAATTCCGTTCGTGTTCCAAGAGCATACGATTATTAGAGCATCCATGCCCAAACCATACTTCCGTTCGTGTTCTAAGAACATACGGTTATTAGAGCACCCATGCCTTGACCATAATTGCGTTCGTGTTCAAAGAACAAGAGCACCCATGCCCCAACCACAATTCCGTTCGTGTTCCAAGAGCCTACGTTTATTAGAGCATCCATGCCCAAACCATAATTCCGTTCGTGTTTCAAGAGCATACGGTTCTTAGAGCATCCATGCCCTGACCATACTTGCGTTCGCGTTGCAAGAGCATACGATTACCAGAGCATCCATGGCAGGAAGAGAGTGAAGGTCAGCACATAACATGTTGACCCTCTGGCTACGCTCTGGCACAATGACATCTCTGGATTGCTCAGTGCCGTTCACACAGTAGCCTCCTACCACAAAGCTTTGCAGGACCGCCAGACTTTACGAAAAAAAGGTTCCAAAATCTGCAGAAAACACATGCATGCGCCCAAAACCGGCGCATTTCTCTGCTTGCCGTTGCTTCCAGCGAGCTCTGCCGACACAGCTCCTGCACTTGTCATGCTCCTGTCTCCTGAACTTCAAATACGCTGGCAGGCGTGGCATTTCTGCCTAGTTCCCATAGGATAATGCCAACGGACATTGCTGCGCACTAATCCCAAAAACATGACACGAAACCGTTTTTTCGCGGCAAACGTATATGATTAACCCTACTCCTACTACTACAACAACAACAACAACTACAACAACAACAACAACAACTACTACTACTACTACTACGACGTCTACTCGGCGTCGCGATGCTAATTGATCGCAATGTTTTTGGGTGTGCATAAGTTTGGGCGAAGTTGCAAAAGTACTGCGGTTTGCAGCACTTCGTGGTTGCGGACCCATTAATGCCGTGGAAAATTGAGGGGGAAAAAAAACGGGGAACTACTTATGGTTGATTCATCAGGATTGCCTCTATAATGTTCGTACTGCTCGTGTGAAACGTTAAAGCGTTCATCGAAAGGCGTAAAAACTAGTGACTAGTTTGACCGATTCTAAGCGTTGCCAACCCTGAACAGAACCGCCTTTGCAGAACACTCACGTTGGTTTTTTTCTTCCTATCGTCTTCATCTGTTGCGTTGCAGTGACACTCTAAGGCCTGGTACTTCTCCTTGATGGCCATGAGCACGGTTTGAAACAGGGACAGGTCGAAGCGCTTCCTGCCCCATCAAGAGCGGCGGCCCGCCTCGGTCATACTGCGCCTCTCCTGCTGGTACGGCCACTTCTCTTTATTACACTACGGACTCGCTGCCAATATTACTACCACCACTACACCGACGAACGCTGTCGCTACTACTATTTACTAGCTACTGCCACGAACACCCCCACAAAGGACAATAAAGACCACTAGTACTCCTACATACAGCAACGACGACGGTGATGATGATGATGATGATATGATGATGACGATGCCGATGACTACGACGCCGACACCAATGGCGACGCCGACGACCACGACCACAACGACGACGAGCACAACGACGACAAAAAGAAGAAAGCGAAAAAGAATACTAATAATTAGAAGAAGAGGAAGAAGAACAAGCGGAAGAAGAAAAAAACGAGCAACCACAAAAACACAACGACCACAACAACAACAACAACAACAACAACCACCACGACGAGGCTGACGCTCCTTCTTTGACGCTATAGGTGTGTGCTCACCTCCCCCACCCCCTTTTTACAGTCCGTTTGACCACATATCCAGAAAGGTTGAGGGGGGGGTCAATGCTTA